GGTGGAACTGGGTGATTTTAAGGTCCCTCCCAACCCAAACCATTCCATGACTCCATGAAAAGAGAAGCTCTGAGGGAGCGGAGCGAGTCACCGCGGTCGAATCCCAGACTTTGCTGCCACGATCCAGCAAACTCCAAACCCCAAACCGCCACCAGGAACATCCACGTGGATCCCAAATCCAGACAGGCGCCGCATCCACACAGGTGCTCTCTGTCCCGCTGACTGTCCCGTTCGTGTCTGGCGTGTGCTCGGAGGGTTCCTCCCGCCAATCCCCGGGCCCGGCACTGACACCCTGCCCTCCCTCATCCCTTCTCCCCGCAGCCATCCGTGGATTCTCCCCGCAGCACAAGATCCGCAGCTTCGAGGAGGCGCGGGGGCTGGACCGGATCAACGAGCGGATGCCGCCGCGCAAGGATTCCCTGCACTCGGACGGGCCCGTGAACTTGGTAACCTCGAACTCTGCGGACAAGAACGGCACGGGGAAGAAATCCCAGTAACGCTCCGGGCGCCCGAACCCGCACCGCTAAAGGATCCAAAACTTAAGGAGTTTTATTTATTTATTATCGGGGGTGGGCTGGGGGCGAGGGGGGGTTGAAACCAACGTCACCCGGAGGCACGTCCATAAGTCCGAGTTCGCATCCGTTCTGTAAAAGGAAGGGCGACCATTTTTGTAATTATTATTTTTTTTTTCTTTTTTTTTTAATTTATGTTCAATATATATAAAAGGAGTCCATCTTTTTTTTTTTTTTTTTTTTTTTTTAATTTAGAAACCAATCCAACTGCTAGTGCATCCCGGGAATGTTGTGCTGTCCAGCTGCCCCTCCCCGAGAGGCCAAACCTCTGTGGAGGTGGGGGGGGGAGGATTAAAAGAAACAAAAAAAATCAGTCAAACCAGGCAACTTGGGTCGTTGGCTTTGGGATAATTTGGAGTTGGCCTGAGCTTTCCAAAGCAGGTCCTTCCCTTCAGGACAGGGTTGGGTTGGTTTTCCTTTTCACACCTGTTTTCTTCCCAGATTTTCCTGTTGCTTTCAAGTCCTTGCCTACCTGCAGCTGCTGCTTTAGCAACCAATTCCCTGGAAGGCACGTTGTCAAGATCCATCCCTTTTCCAAGGTGACAGCCAGGATTAGCTCTGAAGGACTCCAGGGTATTAACAACCAATCATGGCACCTTTTCCTTCAGGAATTCAGCTTTATTCCGGTGGAATCCCAAACAAAAATTAGGGGAAGGCAGGTGGGGGAAGCACTGCCCCTTGTTGTGGCTCTTCCCCGGCCGTCCCAGCTCGGAGCAGCCACTTTGCTGCCCATGCAGCAGAATTCCCTTGGGAATCGCTCTGATTCAGAGCAGAGGAATTATCTCTGCTGTCTGATGATCTCTGGGAAAACTGCCAGGCCTGAATTTTAAAGGAAAAGGGGGTGATTTATAACCTGGGGAATAACAGACCCCCTGTTGTCCCACCACCACAGGCTGCTGAGCCCGCGGCACATTCCCTGTTCCTGGCTCTGGAATCGGCCCTTGCTGGTCAGTTTGGGGTGGGGCCCCCTCAGTGTCACCTCCCTGTCCCCCAGGGTGTGTTTTGGGGGATCTTCCACTCACTGTGGTTGACTTGGGGCATCACCCCCCGTTAGCCAGTGGCTATTCCTCCGACTCCAAAGGAGCCAATGGGCACCTCAGCCTTTCCCAGCAGCTGGAAAAGAACTGGGGATAAGATGTGTGGGGATGCTGCTGGTTTCTGGGAGATGTGGCTTGGTGCTGGTTTCAAGGCACCCCCCAGTTTTGGAAGCACCTCCCTCGGCTGCAGGGAGGGGAGGCAGGTTTGGCAGGAGGCTGGAAGATAGAACCGGGCGGATCCGGTGGGAATTTTTGGAAGGGTGCTTGTGCAGTGCTGGAGAGGGATCTCCGGGGGCTCCCAGGGGACACCCCCCGTGTGGTGCTGGGGATTTTGGAGCGTAGGTGTGTTCCTTTTTCCTTTGGAAAAGGGTTCTGTGAGATTCCCGTTGGTCTCTTCCCTTCCCGGAGCCGCGTGAGCCGCGTCCGTTGCCCGGAGCCAAGGAAGCAAACCCCTGGCCAGCTTTCCCTTCTTCCCCACCTTTTCCCATGCTCGAGCCTCTCCCAAGGGATCTTTGCCAACACTTTCTCTGGATCTTGCTGTCTCCCCTTTGTGATTCCAGCGCCAGAGGAAAACAGCAACTTTGCAGGAAGCTTTCAGGCTGTGTCTTAGGATCACACCTCACTTAATTCCACGGCGGCTCCTTAGGATTCTGTGAGCGAACCACTGGGTTTCCACAAGTCACATGCCTCCACTTTTCCCTCTTTTTTTTTTCTTTTTTCCCCCCCCTCCTGTTTTTTTACACGCCCACCGCTTTGCAAAAAGTGCAAAAAGAGAGGTGTTTGGAGCGAGCTTCCCTCCCCCCGCCCCCCGTCCGAGGCCTGGGGCCAAATTGCCTTTGTCTGTGAGTATTCTTTGTTCTTTAAGGGCCTCCTTTGATCGCCGTGAGCCCCGTGTGTGGTATCCGAGAGCACAGACCGTGCCCGGTGCTGCCCGTGCATGTTCGGGCGTGTTGTGCTGACCCAGGCTGGGATCTCACCCAAGCAGCAGGTTTTAGTCGGGAGATTTTTTGGGATGGGAGCCCCGCGGGACCCCCCGGGCCTGGCACCCCCTCCCCGCACAGGGGATGGGTCAGCAGGGCCCGGCCCATCGCGGAGGGGGGGTTTGCTTTGCTGGCAGTTTGTCTCCCCAACCCTCTTCTCCTGCTCTGGCATCACCAGTTCCTCCTCCCTGAAATCCCTGTGGACCTTGTGCTTTGTGGATTGGGGGATCCAGAGCCACCCCTCCATCCCTGGGGCTCGTGGGGCTGCAGCTTCCCAGTGTCCCGGCCCTGGAGAAGGTGGCCAAGGGCAGGATGTTCCCCTCCCTGCCCCAGGAGCCGTGTGGCAGCTGGCACATGTGGATGCCACACTTCCAGGTCCCCTCTTCCCTTAAAACCAGTTCCCGAGGGGGTGAGGAGCAGCGATGGGGCTCTGGGTGCTAATTACCCCCTCAATTAACGGCCCCTGTCCACGCTGGCATCCCGGTGGGAACACAGAGCTTTCCCTGCCCAAGCACTGAGATCCCCCCTCCCCTCTTCTGGGGTGGAGGGTGATGACAACCTCGGAGCAGAATTCCCTGCCCTGGCTCCCCCACCACGGCAAACCAAAAAACAATCCCTAAAACCCCCAAATTCCCCTGTTCCCCTTCCCCCAAACCCGGCCCCTCAGAGCTGTGCACGTCCCAAAGACCCCTCATCCCAAAGACCCCTCATCTCAGAGCTCCTGCCCGTCCCTTCCCCTCCCCGGCTGCCACCTGGAGCTTGGACAACCGGGATTCTGGGAAGCCCACCGGCCTTGGGGGAGCCCCCACCTCCCCGGGGGAGCCCCCAAATCCAGGGAAGCCCCCACGTCCCCACAGCCTGGGTTTTTTTGCATGTTCTAGCAAGGTGCATGTCCAAGGAGGGGAGTCGGCAACGGGGCGGGTGGTGGGGTTGAGTTCAGGCTTAATTTTATTTTTGGGACTGGGAGAACCTCTCTGGCTGCCTCTGGCACAGATCCCACCTGGCCAGGTGAGCTGGGGTGGGATGCAGATCCCACCGACCTCGGCCAGGGAGGACCTGAAGCCCCACAGGGGGTGCAGTGATGGTGATTTTGGGGTTCTCAGTGCTGAAGGATCATATGCCCGTTGCCTGGAGACTGCCTCCTTTTTAATTTTTAATTTTTATTTCTTGCTTTTATTTTATTTTATTTTTTTTTTTAGTTCTGTTGAAAGGAGAAAAAAAATGGTGAAAATGTTATTTATTGGCAGAAATTATTTAATATAATTTCTTTTTTTTTTTTTTGTGAAACAAGGAATGAATTTGTTAGAACTGTCTCGATGTAAATCGGAATCATCTTTAAGGAGGAAAAAAAAAGATAAAAAAAAAGATAAAAATTGACACAGTCACTGGGCTCCACTGTGGGTTTTTTTGGGGGGGTGTGAAGGGGGTGTTTCTCCTGGGGTGCTGAGCACCCCGTGGGTGCTTCCAGGAGGAAGGATTTGGGGGCTTTTCCAGCCTCTCCAGGGTTGGGGCAGTGCCCAGACGGCGTCTCCCAGCCTCTGGCACGTCGGCACACGCGGAGTGGCGGCTCCGGGGTGGGTTTGGAGAGCTCTCAGCTCCTGCTCCTCGTCCTTCCCTGGGTAAATAACCCTCCTGCCGCTGCCAGGAGGAAGAGGAGGGGATGTGCCAGCTCTTGTTTCACACCCGGCTCCTTCCTCAGCGCTTTTGGGAGGTGCTCCCTCCACACCCAGGGATTTCAGGGAGCAGCTCTGGGCTCTGGGGTTTATCCAGGTGGGTCATGGCTCCCACACCGGGCTGGCTCCTGCCTGGGGATCCCCATCCTGGGCCTGGGACAGGAGGTGGCTCCTGCTGCCATCCCAGCTCCTTCCCTGCTTGGGAAGCTGATTGGGAAGCTGATGTTCCTCCCAGCTGTGGCTGCCACATCTGGGATCCATCCCTCTCCCACGACACTCAGGATCAGCTCTGGAGGACTCCAGAGCCTTGTGCCAATCACAGCACCTTTTCCCGCGGGAATTCCGCCTCGAGCCCAGCTCACCACGTGCTCCCTGTTCCCCACCTGTTCTCCTGACAGAATTCCCGCTGCCCAGCCTCCGGATGCATCCAGGGCGTGACCGGGAAAGGATGCTCCGGCTCTCCCACCCTTTTCCTGGGTGTTCCCACCCAACTTGGGGGGGCCACCGGCACCCTGCCCCGCACCCGGCATCGCCCCCAGACCGCGGGCTCGGCCCCGGGAGGGCTCCGGCCGCCGCCCGGCACCTCCCCGAGCACGGGAGCATCCCCGGGAGCATCCCCGGGGCCGGCCGCGCGCTCCCGGCTGGCATCGCCGCGCTGAGCAAACAGGAAACACTCGCCCTTTGTTAATCCCGGCCCGGGCTGCGCGTTAAATATTTATCTGCGAGCGGAGGCTGGTGCCGGAGCCGCGGGGAGGGAGGGACCGAGGCAGGGCCGGCGCTGGAGGCTCCTCGCCGGCCACGGGGACGAGGAGGTGAGGAGGTGAGGAGGTGAGCCGGGGCTCGGGCGGGGGTCGTTGGCACCCCGGGGTGGGCTGCGGGGCTGCGACCTCCGGAGATGTCACTTGGTGGGCTGGAGGGGACCTGGAGGTGACACGGGGGGGATGGCCACCCCCCCGGCAGCGGGGATGGGCTCTGGGGTCCTCTCGCCGGGTTTAACCCTCCCCGTGGGTGCCCCCGGCTTCGCCCCAGCCCTGTTGCCCTCCCTGCCCTTGTCACCCCGAGTTTTTCCAGCGGGATCAGCCCCTGTCCCCAACCCGCGTCCTCCCCGCGGTGTCACCAGCTGGCACCAGGGAGCTGCCCCGTTCCCATGGCATTCCGGCGGGAGCTGTGTCCCCCAGGGCTGTGGCAGTGGGGAGGACACCCGCCCCTGTCCCCTGTGTCCCATGTGTCCCTGATGTCCCCGGTGCATCCCGGGAGCAGCATCACAGCCAGACAGGGCTCCTGCCATCGTCCCCCTCACCCCCAGCGGCAGGGGACGGGTGCTTGGTGGGGACCGAGGAGTGGCAGCGAAGCCACCATCCCCCCGGGAGCTCACGTGGGACCTCACGGGACAGAGGAAGGGCCGGGGCGGCCCCGTTCCGGGGGTGTCAGCAGTTTTGGGGGAGTGGGAAGTGACCAGAGGGTGAGTGGTGGGTGCGGGCGCTGCCGGAGGGGGTGAGTGGGATGTGGGGCACCCACAGAGCAGGGCACGGGGGTGTTACACGGGGGTCCTCAGTGCCCAGATTCCTTAGGGATGGAGGGATGGAGCGGGTGGAGGAACACCCGTGGGAAAACGAGGGGCAGTGAGGATGGGGACTTTTCTCCCACCATATCCCCCATCTCAGGGGTTGGGGGCCACAGGAGCACAGACCCCACTCCCCACCTCTGTCCTGACCTCCAGCCAGCACTTCCCTCCCCGTCCTCTCCCAAAATTCGCCCCCAGATCCCTGCCTCCATCTCAGAGGGGGGCTGGTGGTGCCAGAAGGGGTGAGGTGGGATACGGGGCACCCACAGAGCAGGGCATGGGAGCGTTTCAAGGGGGTCCCCAGTGCCCAGAGGGATCTGGAGGGGATGGTCACCCATGTGGAAGTGGGTGACAGTGGGGATGGGGGCTCTGCTCTCACTGAGGGGCTTGGGGGGCCACGGGAGCACAGACCCCACCCCCCACCTCAGTCCTGACCTCCACCCAGCACCTCCCTCCCCATCCTCTCCCAGAAATCCCCCTGAATTCCCATCTCCCTCTCGGCGGGGGACCGGCGGCGCCGGGCTCGCCCCCGTTTCGTAAGCGGGGGGCCGGGTGCGCGGGAACGCGTGCGCGGGGCGTGGGATGAGTTCAGCCTCCTGGCTCCATTCCCTGGATCCCATCCCTGGAAATGTCACTGGAAACTCTGAATGGGCCGGCCCCGCTCGGGGGGGACGGAGCAGCGCACCCCGGGGGGGGCCGGGGCACACGGGGACCCAACGCCGGGGAGGACGGTGGCTCCTGACCCACCCGGGGGATGCTCGGAGGGGGGGGGGCTGTCCCTGCCAGCCCCCCGCGATGCGCTGAGCACCCCCCCTCCCAGTTCCTTCTCCCGGCAAAGTTCGTGCCGTGGATTTCTCTTCCCTGCCTCTCGCAGCTCCGTCCCGCTCGCCCCGGGGCTCCCCAAAACCCCGGCGCTCCCCGGGGGTCCCCGCCGGCACCACCCAGGAGGTAAGAGCTGGCTGGGGGGGGGCCGGCGAGGAGGGGACCCCCGGGGCCAGGTTTTGGGGCAGGATGGGGCCGAGCCCCGTGTGGGAGCTGCGCTGGGAATGGGGTGGAGGTTGTTGGGGTGTCCTGGGGGGTGGGAGTCTGCACCCCGCTTTCTGTCCCCTGAGGCACATAATTCCCAGCACCTGTTTCCCTCCGGGGAGGGGGGTGATTAACATTAATTACACCCTTGGGGCTGCGAGGACACCGGCGGTGTGGGGAGCAAGGAGCTGAGGGGTCCCCAGCCCGAGCTGAGGGTCCCACACGCACAGGGCACCGTGCCGGGTTGGCACCCCCCCCCGGCAGCCCCCCAGGCTGTTTGAGGGGGGGTCTGGCCGTGGTGGGCACCTGTGAGCGCTGGGGTGATGACTGATATGGGGATGAGCCAGGGCACAGGTGACTCGCCCCGTCCCGGGGCTGCGCTCGCCCCTGGAGCCATCCTGGTGCCAGGAGCTGCGCCGGGGGTCCCGGCCCCCCCAGCCGCCCCCCGTCCCGTCCCGTGCCGTGGTGAGTCACTGCACTGCCCTCCCGGCGGGCGGTGCCGGGGCCCAGCCGCGCGTTCCCGACGCCTCGTCCCTCTCCGTCCCCTCTCCCTCCCTGTTTGCGCTGCAGGGCGGGGGAAATATTTCTGCCCTGTCGTGTTTCCCGGCCCTGGCAGCTCTCCCGGGCGGGCGACGCTGCTGCCGCCACGTGCCCGGGCGGGAGGGCACCGCGCCGGGATGCCAAGGTGATGGGAACACGGCACAGCCATCGCCCCGACCCGCTCCGGGCGTGTTCTCCCCGAAGAGAAAGCGGGGCTGGATCCATCCCTGCAGAGCCGGGGTGGGGACAGGGGCGGGAAGGGGGGTCTGGATCCGCATGGAGAACACGTTGGGGAGCCCTGCCAGGGCTGGTTCCAACCGGGAACAGCTGCTTCCTGTGGCACTGTGAGACTCCCTGAGCTGGGGACGGTGCCACCGCGGTTGTCACCCCACTGTGGTGGTTGTCACCCTCCTGGCCGTGGGGATGGAGCTGGGATGGAGCTGCCAGCTGTCCAGCCAAGCCTGAGGGTGTCCAAAAGAACAGGGACATGGGCCCCCCCCATGAGCAAAGCCACTTTCCTCACAGGACACGGGAAGCCCTGGGGCATCACCCCAGCATTCCCTGGCCATGGCAGGTCGGCTCCTGCCCTCGGACACCAACCAGGCTCTGGGTGTCCAGGACGTCCCCTCCCTCCACCCACCCCTGCAGGTGCCCCCCCAGCACACGGTGATACGGGTGAGTGGGGCCAGGGGCTGCTGCACGTGGGGGATTTCGGGGGGGGGTTTCTCCCTCTGTCCCTCCCTTTGGCCCTCCCCACCTCGCCCCAGCCCCTCCTTGTGCCGCAGGTGCCCGTCATCCGCCACCGCGGCTCCAACACCCTCAACTTCCACTTCCATGACCCGGAGCCCAAGAGCTCGGAGCCCAAGAACTCAGGTATGGCTCTGAGCACCCTCAGGGATGCCCCCACGGGCTCCCCCCCAGCAATACCCCCCTGATCGATGCCCCCCCTGAGCGATGCCCCTCCTGAGCGATGCCCCCCCTGAGCGATGCCCTCCTTGTCCCCAGTGAATGAGTGGTATCAGACCTGGCCGGCCAAGGAGGTGAAAGCCCCCAACACCCCAGTGCCCGCCGGCCCCATGCCCACCCCCAGGGCCGCCCCCGCCCACCCGTGCCCCCCGGGCTGGTCGGCCACCTGGACCAAGGACAGCAAGCGGCGGGAGCGGCGCTGGGTGAAGTACGACGGCATCGGGCCCGTGGACGAGACGGGGATGCCCATCGCCTCCCGCTCGGTGAGTCGGGGCGCAGGGCCGGGCTGGCACCCCCCTGTTGCCCCCTCACCACCCCAACGTGTCCCCACAGAGCGTCGACAGCCCCCGGGACTGGTACCGCAGCATGTTCCGGCAGATCCACCGCAAGCTGCCAGGTGAGCCCAGGTGTGCAGGCGTGGCACAGCGTGGCACAGCGTGGCACATCATGGCACATCATGGCACATCATGAGACCCTGCTTACCCCCTCCGTCCTCAGAGCCCGACTGGGACACCCACCTCTGCCCTGCCACAGCGCCTCCATCGCCCCCCAAACCACGCAGGAGGGGCTCAGCACCGGCTGAGCCCCCCGGGATGCCCAACGGGATGGACTGGTGAGTGTGGCACGGGGATGTGGATGAGTGTGGCACGGGGATGTGGGTGAGTGTGCCACAGGGATGTGGGTGCCCGTGGGGTGGGGGGCTGCGGGGGCTGAGCCCCTCCCGCCTCCCCTCAGGACGCGCTGGGGTGCCACCGGTGCCACCACGGAGCCCGGCAGCATTTTTGACTATGAACCAGGGAAATTCTCGCCGCTGGAGCAGGTAGGGAGGTCCTGGCAGGGAGGGATTTTGGTGGGCACCGTGGTGGGCACACACCTAACTGGCCCCTTGCCCTTTCCAGCCCCCGGCAGCGGCACGGCGGGCCCAGTCCATCGAGGTGAGGTGGTGGTGGTGGGCAGGGGGCTGGGGGTGGCCTGGTAGGGGTCCTGGTGGCCACGGGCAGTGCCAGCCTGGCCCGCCACAGCCCCATCCTGCCCGCGCAGGTGCTGCTGGAGCAGGAGCTGGAGCAGCTCAGCGAGGAGCTGGACAAGGACATGAGGAACATGGAGACGCGCCGGACCCCCCGCCAGGTACCCCGGACCCCCTGTCAGCTGCCCCTTGTCCCCCCCCCAGCAGGGCTGATGGGGTGTGCATCCATCCAGCTGTGGGCACATCCAGCTGTGGGCACATCCAGCTGTGGGCACAGCCTTTGTGCAAGGCTGGTGGTCGGACGCAGGGCTGGATGTGTGCACATCTGGATGCATGCATGGCTGGGTGAGTGCATGGCCGGATTCATGCACATCTGGATGCATGCATGGCTGGGAGCATCCCTGCATGACTGCGTGAATGCACAGCTGGGTGCCTGCACATCTGGATGAACGCACGCCCAGCTGGGTGTGTGCACAGCTCGGTGCCCGCCCGTCCGGCCCCACGCACATCTGGGCCCGTGCACATCTGGTTCCACGCACGGCTCCTCGGCGGCCCCGAGCCGCGGGACTCTAGGACCCAGCCCGTCCGTCTGTCCGGCGGTTATTGGCGCAGCCGGGCTGGACTCCTTCGCTTCCCGCCGAGACTCGGCCTCCTGGATGATTAATTTTTCTCTCCCACCCCCTCCCGCTCCTCCCGGCAGAGCCCGGCGGCTGCTCCCACCGCTCGCTCCCCTGCTCCGGCCTCCCCGGCTGCTCGGTGAGTTCCGCGGCTGCTCCCGCGCCCCGGACCCCCAAATCCCCCTGCGCGGACCCCACTCGAGGCGGGGGGCAGGACCCCACTCCGAGGGTGGCAAACGGGCTGTCCCTCCTGCGTCGCGGCGGGGTGGGAGCCTCCAGACATCCCCCTTGGGATGGATCCCCACGGACCCCCCGTGGCAGCGCTGGTCCCCTCGTCCCCCCCACGCCCCAGCACGGGTGGGGGCCCCGGCGCCGGGCCGGCTGCCCGGTGGGTGGGACGGGGCCGGAGCGGGGCTGACCCTTTCCCCCGTCCCCGGGACGCCGTGTCCCGGCGTTTGGCTCCGTCCCAGGGGAGGTGACGGCGGCCGGATTCCCACCGCCGTGTCCCCGCGTCCCCACGGGCACAGGGAGGGGACAGCTGTGCCGGAGGGTGCCGGGGCACCCCCGGGTGGGGTCGGTACCCTGAGACGTGCTGGGCACCCCGGGGGTGTCCCCACGGACCCGTCTCAGCCCCGTCAGCGGGAGGAAAACAAACAAACAGCAGCTCCACTTCTTGTAGGACCTGCCGTAACCCCCAGGGGCGCACAGGGGGAGTGGCTGCCCGCTCCCAACCCCTCCTCTGGCCTGGGGGGGGCATCTGAGGCTCTTCAAGTGCCCCCCGCAGTGGGGTTATCCATTAGCCAGGCCGCCCTCCCCGGCACTCGCCTGCTCGGCGCTTCCTGCTCGGCACCAGCAGGGACGTGCCGCTGGCACTGCCGGAAAACTTTGGACCTGTCCCGCTTGGCTGCCTCTGGGATGGGATCCTGGAGGGATGCACACAGGACACCCCGGTGTCCTGGTTCTGGGGGACCCCAGCGTCCTGGTACTGGGGTACCCAGGGGTTCTGGTCCGTGGAACTCAGGGATCCTGGTCATGGGGGACTCAAGTATCCTGGTTTTTGGGGACCCAAGGATCCTGCTCCTGGGGAACTTGGGCATCCTGGTACCTCTGTTTTGGGGTACCAGGAGTTCTGGTCCATGGAACTCAGGGATCCTGTTCCTGGGGTATCCTAGCATTCTGGTCCATGTGACCCAGGAGTCCTGATCCATGGGATACACAGGTCCTGGATGTCCCTGACATCCTGATCTGTGGGACTCAGGGGTCCTGCCCCCGGAGAACAGCAGGGTTGGGGCAGGGAGGGTTCATGGCAGCAGGGCTGGGTGTGAGCCCTGAGCCCCTGTGACCCCACAGGAGCCCCCTGTCACCCCACCCACTGCGGAGCCCCCCCGGCACCCAGCGCTCCCCCGCCAGCCCCGGCATGGAGCGAGGTGTCCTGGGGCTGGCCAGTGACCGGAACCGTGCAGCCCCTGGCAGAGGTGAGCCCCCCTGAGCCCCCCCGGACCCTCCCCAAGCCGTGGGGCACCCCATGCCCCCACCAGCTGGTGACACCCCTCTCTTTGCAGACACCCTCAGGCCAGAGACCCTCCCCAGCCTGCCCGACCTGGGAGATCCCACTGAGACCGTCAGGAGGGAGGAGAAGAAGGTGAGGCCGGGATGGGCCCATCCCCTGTGGGGTTTGGGATGGCTGGGATGGGGGGTCTCCCTGTAACCACTCCTCTCCCTCCCCAGATGAAAGCTGCTCGCCTCAAGTTCAACTTCCAAGCCGAGTCTCCCAAGTAAGTGCTGGTGCTGCTGGGGGGGGGTCACTCCTGGGGTCCCCCCAAGCCCCACTATGTGGGGTGGCCCTGCCAGCCAGGCTGGGGAGGGGTCAGTGCCCCCCCAGACAGGTGTGAGCACTGTCCCCTGCAGGGAGCTGACGCTGCAGAAGGGGGACATCGTCTACATCCACAAGGAGGTGGACAGGAACTGGCTGGAGGGGGAGCACCACGGCCGCGTGGGCATCTTCCCCTCCAACTACGTGGAGGTGAGCCCGGGGGGGTGGAGGGGGGGCAGCAGGGCTGGGGGAGCCTGGCACTGCCCCTCACCCCCGTGTCCCACCCAGATCCTGCCCCCCACGGAGGTGCCCAAGCCCATCAAGGCGCCCACCATCCAGGTGCTGGAGCACGGCGAGGCGCTGGCGCTCTACAACTTCCGAGGGGAGCTGCACGTCGAGCTCTCCTTCCGCAAGGTGCCCGCCGTGCCTCCCTCCTGCCACTCAGGGCCCGTTTCCCGGCCATCCCGCGCTGACCCCACCTCTCCTCCCTGCTGCAGGGTGAGCGGATCTGCCTCGTGCGGCGGGTGGACGAGAACTGGTACGAGGGGCGGATCTCGGGCACCAGCCGCCAGGGCATCTTCCCCGCCACCTACGTCCAGGTGCTGAAGGAGCCGCGGGTCAAGGCCACCGCCGAGGACATCCCCCCCTCGCCCACCCCCGCCATGTCCCCGTCCCTGCAGCGCTCGCCCGCTCCCCGCGTCCCCCAGAACCCCGCCGGCTCCCCCCGGGTGGCGGAGCCACGTCCTGGGGTCACGGGTGGGCACCTCGGCGTCGCCTTCCCCGCCTCCCCGAAGCTGCCCCACGCTGGCACCCCCAGCCCCTCACTGGCCTCTGCCAGCCCCCCCCAGCCTGCGGCCGCCCACCCCCACCAGGAGCCCCGGTGTCCAGCCTGGGCCCCCGAGCAGGTGAGTGCCCCCCTGCCTTGGCATCGTGCCCCCAACCCTGGGCGATGCCCTGAACGCTGCACCCACCCTCTCTCTGCCCCCGCAGCGTGCGACCCCGGGGGTACCCACCAGCGCCCGCCCCGAGCCCGCCCCGTCCTACAACGGCTCCGAAATCCGGTGGACCCCGTAAGTAGGGCCGGGAGCGTCCCCGCCGCGCCGTGTCCCCCCCTCCCCGTGTTGGGGGGTGGGCTCTGGCCACGCCGTGTCTCGCAGGTACCGGGCGCTCTACCAGTACCGGCCCCAAAACGCCGACGAGCTGGAGCTGCTGGAGGGGGACCGCGTGGACGTCATGCAGCAGTGCGACGACGGCTGGTTCGTGGGTGCGTGCCCACCGGGACGGGGGCAGGGAGGAGGGACAAGGTGCCGCCGCGACCCCTCACCGCCTCCCCGTGCCTTTGTCCCCCCCCGCAGGCGTGTCCAGGAGGACGCAGAAGTTCGGCACTTTCCCCGGGAATTACGTGGCGCCGGTGTGACCCGCGGCCACGGCGGGGGACGCGAGGGCTGGGGCCGGGGGGCGCGCCCCGCTGCCCCGCCTCGGCCACGCCGTGTCCCCGCAGTGTCCCCTCCGCGGGGATGAAGCTCCTCCAGCTCCCTCCCGCCCCTATGGGGCTGCCTCTAACAGGGACAAATCCCCCCGGCGCGGGGGGTCTCCCCCACCCCAGTGCCTTAACACGCCCCCTCCTCACCGCTGCCCGGTGCCCGCGGCCCCGGGGGTCGCCCCGGGGGTCCGCCGGTGCCGGGCCTGACCATGACGGCCGCGACCCGGGATGTGGGTCGGCGTCCGGGAGTCGCCTTTGCTTCTCGTCCATCATTAAAGCTCAGCTCAGCCCGAGTCGGGGCGTGCCGGGATTCGGGAGGGGCCGGCGGGGCGGGGGGGGTCCCACAGGACGCCGCGTGGGGGCCGCGGGGATCCCCCCACGCCCACGGGCGGTGCCGGGGCGGGACCAGCCGCCGCCGTGCGCCCCGTCGGGGCGGGGGGGCCGTGCCCGCAGCCCGCCCCGGCCCGGCCCGGCCCGGCTCCTCCCGAGGAGGCGGTGCCGTCCCGGGGCCGCGCTCGGCTCCGCAGCCCCGCGGGGCCGCCCGGCTCGGCCGCCCCGGTGAGTGCGGGGGGTACCGGCGGTGCGGGGGGCACGGGGGGCTTGGGGGGCACCGCGGGGTGCGGGGGGACCGGCGAGCGCCCGCTGCGGTTGTCGGGGGTGCCCTTCCTTCGGGGGTCGCGGTGCCCGGGGGTCCCGCGGATGCTGCTCCGCCGCGCAGGGGAGGGGGGCTGCGGGCAGCCTGTCCCCCCACATCCCCAGGTGTTCACGTCCCCCAGATCCCAGTGTCCCCATAGCCCAAATCCCCACGTCGCTGTGTCCCCACGTCCCCAGAGCCCCACGTCCCCGCGCCTCCTCTGGCATCGCCCGTCCCCGCCGCTCGCCCCGCGGGTGCCAGGCGGCACCGCCAGTCGCCACGGGCACAAAGACGCCGCTGTGCTACGAGGACAGAGCCGGGAGGGAGCGGGGACACAGGTGGGGTGCGGGGGACCGAGAGGGGAGCAGGGGACGAAGGAGGAGAGCAGGGGATGGAGAAGGGGTGCGGGACGCAAAGGAGGGGTGCAGGGGCTGGAGAAGAGGTGCAGGACCCTTCGGGGATCTGGGGTTGGTGCCCAGCCGGGTGTGGGGGTCCCCAGGCCGGCAGCCCTCGCTGCCCAGGGATGCTGAGCAGGGCCGGGCATGGGGAGGGGGTTTGGGGTTTGGGGTTTCCTCCCGGCACTGGAAGCCCAGCCCAGGAAATTCTTCCGGGCAGCCTCTCAAGCCCCTCTTTGTGCGCTTGGGATTTTTAACATGCCTTCCCGGCGGCTGTGGACGAGGTGCCCGGTTCCGGATGGGATGCCCGGTTCCAGACGGGGTATCCAGCTTTCCTCGGGCTCTGCAGAGCTCGGCCAGGCTGTGGCGGGATGGGATGGGATCTGGTGTAGATTTAGGGGACGGGGCTGTCTGTTCCCACCCATCCCCTCGAAACCAGGAGCTGCTGCTCTCCCCGGGGTGCCATGGGACACCCCCGGGGGATACTCAGCACCCTTTACTGGTCTGGATTGGCTGCAGGATGAAGGACTCGGGGTGGTGGTCCTTGCCGGGTGCCAGACCCCCCCCGTGGTGAGCAGCAGGATCACCACATCCTCCCCTCCAAACCCGCTGGCTTGGCCCTGCCGCGCTGCGGGATTGGCCTTGCTGCCAAGGCGTCGCTGATTCCCTGCCTCGCTCCAGCCCCTGGGAACGACCTTGGCTGCCTCAGCTGCGCCAACGGCCGCCTGGGACCCCCGTGCTCCGGGGGGAGGAAGCCACCAGCCTCAGGGCAGCAAGAGGAAGCGGCGGTGGCTGCTGACACCCTGCAGGGACGTGGGTCCCCTCCCCGGAAGGAAAGCGCTGCCGGTTTCCATCACCCCCTGCTCGGGGTGCAGCCGGGACGAGGAGGCTGCCGTTGGGTGGGCTGTGGGTGGGAGGAGGGGGGTTCCCTCTACCTGGGTGCCTGGGATCCCTGACAGCCCCCTCCTGCCCGCCCAGAGCCACCCGCTGCCATGCCAGTGACCGTGACCCTGCCCGGCCCGGCCCCCTGGGGCTTCCGCATCTCCGGGGGACGAGATTTCGGGAAGCCCATCACTGTCTCCAAGGTAGGACCCCCCCAACCACCACCACCACCACCACGTGCCCCCCCCCGGGCCGGGGGAGGCCGCCGGGCGGGCGCCGTGCTGGGCTGCTCCGGGGAGAGGATCCTGTTTGCTTGTCCTTGGGGGATCCTGCTCCATGGGAACGGCCCACGGCGGCGCAGGGGCCCCGTGCCACCCCCGGGCTGGGCAGGGCCGTGCCAAGCTTCCGGGTGTTGTTTCCAGGGCCGTGCTCCCACCCTGGCAGAGGGTCTGGTGCTGTTCTTGCCCAGGCCGTGGGGATTCCAGAGGGTGGGAGCCACCGGGATTCAGGAGTCGACGCGGACCTTGGCGCAAGGGCTGCGCATGGGGGTGTGTGTGGGGGGGCTCACTGGGGCTGTCCCCACGTCCCCCTTCTTCTCCATGGAGGTGACGGAGCACGGGAAGGCAGCCATGGGTGATCTCCGGGCGGGGGATGTCATTGTCACCATCAACGGGGAGAGCACGGCCGAGATGCTGCACGTGGAGGCCCAGAACAAGATCAAGCAGAGCCCTGGGCAGCTCCGGCTGGAGGTGGAGAGGTGGGTGCTGAGGGGGGTGGGCAGCCCCCAGCCCCGGAGCTGGAGCTGGGTGCCAGGGGTGTCCCCACGTGGGTTGGGGTCCCCCAGCCAAGTGTGTGCTGGTTGTTCTTCCCCTTGGGCGACTCCTGGGGCTGTGCCATCCCCCCCCCTCCCCCGGGAGCCTGGCCCGGCTCTCTAATTAAGGAGTCAGGTGCTAACGAGGCCAGACAGTGCTGGCAGCCGTTCCCTGGCCGACTGGTCCCAGTTGGGGGCCCAGTGGGTACCTCTCTCCACCTTCTGGAGGGGCTGGGAGGAGCGGTCGGGCCGTGCTGTGCCATGCCATGAGCAGGGGCTGAGCGCTCCTGGGGAACATTCCAGACCCTCCCTGCTCTCCCTTGGTCCCCAGGTCCCTGATGCCACCTCCCAGCCACGCCAACGGGGACACCTCACTGGAGAGGTTGGCCACACGTGTCCAGGTGAGCCCCAGCACGCCCTGTACCCCTACTCAGGGCTGGTGGCAGCTGCTGGTGTCACCCTCCCCTCCCCAGGACACGCTGAGGACACAGGATGAGAGCCAGGGTGCCCTGAGAGCCCCCGACCCCAGCCTGGCATCCCCCATCCACCTGCCCCACAGTGCCAGGTAAGGCTGGACCCAGCTGTGTGTGGTGCTGGGGGGTTGGGCAGGGAGCTGGGGAGGGCCAGGGACACCCCTGATGTCTCCATTCTCTCCCCACAGCTCCCAGCCCCTGGAGGAGGAGTTCGCCTGTCCAGGCCTCTGTCGGGTGAGTGGGGAGCTGGGGGGCTGCAGGGGGACAGGCAGAGGTGCTGGGGGCGGGGTGTCTGTGAGCCATCAGCTTTTGTGACACTAAACCTTCCCCCTTTTCAGCCCCAAACCACCTCCCTTTGAACCCCCAAACCACCCTCCTTGCACACCCAAGCCATGCCCTTTGACACCAAAACCACTCCCCTTTGCACACCCAAGCCATGCCCTTTGAGCCCTGAAATCATCACCCTTTGAGCCCCAAAACCACTCCTCTTTGCAAACCCAAGGCACCCCACTTTGAACCCCCAAACCATTGCCCTTTGAGCCCCCAAACCATCCCACTTTTGAGCCCCAAATCACCCCCTTTGAGCCCCCAAACCATCCCACTTTTGAGCCCCAAATCACCCCCTTTGGACCCCCAAACCATCCCCCTTTGCAAACCCAAACCATCCCACTTTTGAGCCCCAAATCACCCCCTTTGGACCCCCAAACCATCCCCCTTTGCAAACCCAAACCATCCCACTTTTGAGCCCCAAATCACCCCCTTTGGACCCCCAAACCATCCCCCTTTGCAAACCCAAACCATCCCACTTTTGAGCCCCAAATCACCCCCTTTGGACCCCCAAACCATCCCCCTTTGCAAACCCAAACCATCCCACTTTTGAGCCTCAAATCACCCCCTTTGAGACCCCCTTTGCAGCTCCCTGGCCACATCACTGCCCAGCCCTGCTCTCCCTCGGGCACAGCCGGTGCCCCCTCCCCTCTGGTGCCCCCTCCCCGCCGCCCTGGCAGCACCCCCAGACCCGCGGGCACCGGCACCTGCCCAGGGATGTTTTGCTCCTCTTGGCAGCGGCGCCAGCCTGGGGAGGCCAAACCAGTTTGGGGAGGCCCAGCCCCACTCCCGCCAGCCCGGGGCACTGGGGTGTTGGCCGGGCAGGGACCCACGGCCCGGCGCACCCCCGGCCCGGTGGGATGCCCCGGGAGCGGGGCCGGGATGCCCGGGGGCTGGATGCCTCCTCCTCCTCCACCCCCCGGATCAGCCGCAGGATGCCCGTGGCCGCCCCGTCCATCCCCGCGGGCAGCCGCTGGCTCCGGGCTTGGCGTCTCCCTCCTCTGCTCCCCTCCCTGCTTTCTCTTTTTCTTGTTTTCCAAGCCCAAATTGGGAAGCGCCGTGGTCCCGGAGCGCGGCCCTTCCCGGCTGCCTTTGGCCGCAGCCCCGGCCGCCCCTTGGCTCCTCCGGCCGCCCGCTCCCTCCTTCCTCCCCAGCTCCGTGTTTGCTTTGGCCCCGGAGGGTCCCTCCCTGCCCCAGATGGTCCCTCCCTGTCCCTGAGTGTCCCTTCCTGCCCGGAGCCCCCCACCACGGGGCCGTGAAGATGCTCAAAGGGGAGCCGGGGGGAAGGGCTGCCCGTGGGTCCCGATCTTCCCCCCATCCCAGGGTGGGTTGGCGCTGGATCCTGGCAGGGACGAGGCCAAGGCGCCCGGCTCCTCCCGCGCCTAATTTTAGCTCGTCCCTCATCTCCTCGTGACCCCACAGAACCCCGGGGCTGCTCCCCTCTCCCTCTCCATGGATCCAGGCAGGGAGATCTCCCTGTCCCCGTCCCGGGGTCCCCCCGGGGTTCCCATCTGCGTGGCGGCCGCTCCCGGGAACATCAGCTTCCACTTATCCAGGGTTCCTCTTTCCTGCCTCGCCGGGCCCGCTAAGCAGGAGCAGATGGTGGGGAGGGGACGGGCACAGGCGCAGGGGTTATGGGGTGGGGGTGCTGCTCTGGTCCCCCCCGGGGGTCCTGCTGACCCCAGCTGGGCTTGGGGAGGAGAAGCAGCTGCCCCACGGAGCATCCCTGCATCCTCCAGAGACAAGGGCTCGAGAAAAGCCCCTCTGGGCCTGATCCAAGTGCCCTCAGGGTCCCCGGGGGCAGAGGGAAGGTCTGTGGGCACCCTGCCAGGGTGTTCAGGCCACTTTGGGGGCCACCCCAGCCTGATCCCTTGTGCCCTCCCATCACCTCTCTCCCCCTGCCAGGAGCGAGGAATCCTGACCCACCAGAACAGCTGCCAGGGGTCCATCCTGCCTCCACCCCCCTGCCCACCCTCACCGGGGTTTGGAGCCCCCCAAAACCCCTGGGAGATGCACAGGGAGCGTCGCCCTTCCCTCTCTCCCAACACCTGCAACAGGTACGGAGCGGGGCTGGTGGGGGAAGGGGGGGACAGGACACAGGGAAGCCCCCAACCCCACCCTGGCCTGGTGATTTGGCACCCACGGGTGCCGAGGGAGCCCGTGGAAAGGGTTAACTCACCTGCGAGGCAGGTGGGGCCGCGGCAGGGCCGGGCAGGCCGGGGCAGCTCCCGGGGGAAGGAGGGATCAGGTGGCAGGCGGGTAGTGGGGGGGGGTGCAGAGGGTGGATCCCGGAATTTGGGTGCTGTCAACCCCCCCAGACATCTCCCCCTCGGGGTGCCGTCCCACAGCCAGGGCTCGGAGCCGGCCATGAGGCGCTTGGAGGAGGACTCGGAGGTCTACAAGATGCTGCAGGAGAACCGGGAGCTGCGGGCGGCCCCGCGGCAATCCAGCACCTTCCGCCTGCTCCAGGAGGCGCTGGAGGACGAGGGAGGAGGTGACAGGGCGCGGGGGGAGGCGGGGGGTCCGGCAGGGGGGCGGCAGGACCCTGATGGCCCCGTTCTTGCCCCCTCCTCCCGCAGGTGGTCCCACAGCCCCCTTCCCCAGCCGGCTCTCGTCCAGCGCCCGCAAACCCGTGGCCGGGGTCCAGAAGCTGCACGTCTGCGAGAAGTGCGGGAGCAGCATAGCGTGAGTGGGGCTGGGGGGGTCCCGGGGCAGGGTCTGTGCCTGCCGTCCCTCCTGGCGAAGCCAAAAACGGGTTGGTCTTGGGGCTGGGCGGACCCCGGGGCAGGATCTGTCCCTGCCGTCGCTCCCACAGGGCCGAAGTGGGGCTGATCCTGGGCTGTGAGTGAGGTTGGGGGAGGTCCCGGGGCAGGATCTGTCCCTGTGATTGCTCCTCTCAGGGACAGACTGGGGCTGATCCTGGGCTGTGAGTGGGGCTGGGGGCGAACGGGGGCACGGAGGTCCTAGGGCAGGACCCGTCCCTGTCACTGCTCCAAGCAGGGATCAAACAGGGCTGACCCTGGGATGCGAGCGGGGACGGAATCCCGGGGCAGAGCCCCGCCCTGCCACCGCTCCGGGGCCGCGGTGGGGTGGGAGGGGACCCGGGGGACGGACCCCACTGACGCCCCTTCCCGGGGTCCCCCCAGCACGCAGGCGGTGCGGATCCAGGACGGGCGGTACCGGCACCCGTCCTGCTACAGCTGCGCCGACTGCGGCCTCAACCTCAAGATGAGGGGCCACTTCTGGGTGGGCGACGAGCTGTTCTGCGAGAAACACGCCCGCCTGCGCTACCAGGGCCCCCCGGGGGCGCCCGTGTCCCCCCCGCCCGTGTCCCCCCACTCCTGAGCCACAGGAGTGATGGAGGGGTCACCCTCCGCGTCCCCCCCGTGTCCCGGGGTCAGCCCCCCGCCCCCACAGCCCCACTGGGGTCGGGGGTGTCGTGGGGGGGCTGAGGGCACCACCAGGCTCGGGATGGCCGGGATTTTTGGGGAGGGATGCACTACAGCCTTCGCAGTCTGTGTGATGAGCTGGGTTAGTTCTCAGCCTGGGCTGCAGCAGTGGGGGACACGGGGGTGACATTGGGGAGGGGAGACTTTGGGGGGGGTCACAGGGATGCTTGAGCACTTGGGTGCCAGAGAAGGGCTGGCACCGCTTGTACACTGACTGCAACAAGGTATTAAACCAGATTATATATAAATATAATATATATTTGCTCCACTCCCGTGTCTGCTCTGTGCTGGGGCCCCAGGGCGGGGGCAAGGTGGGTCCCCCCCCCCAAATCCCAGGGTGCAGGCAGGGACCCCAGACCCCTCAGCCCTCCTGCCTGCACCCAGGGTGGGGGTCCAGGGCTGGGCAAGGCTCATCCCGGGCTCTCCAGTGACATCCCAGCTGGCCTTGTGGTGCTCCCGGGAAGGTCAGGGCTCCCCGCAGGGCTGGATGTCCCCTCCCTGTTCCTGGTGTCCCTGGGAGGTGTCGGCGGTTTATTGGGGGCTGTTGGCAGAGCCCTTTGTCCTGCAGGGGCCCAGGTGGGCTCTTATCTCTGCTCCCCACCCTCCGGGCCTGTTTGCACCGAGATGGGCTTTGCTGTTATCTGGGATTCGCCTGGGAGGGAACCAGCTCCTTCCCCTGTCCTGGGGACAGCCAGGAGCCCCCTCCCCTCTTGCCTGGGGTCTCACTGGGGTCTGTTTGGGGTGCACCACAGCCCCTCGTGTGCCCCCCGGGCCCGTCCATGGAGCTCTCACCGTGGAATTCCCGATTAAACATCCCAGAGCTGCTGTGGCTGCCCCAGCCCTGGGAGTGTCCAAGGCCGGGTTGGAGCAACCTGGGCTGGTGGAAGGTGTCCCTGCCCGTGGCAGGGGGTGGGATGGTGGATGGTCTTTAAGGTCGCTTCACACCCAAACCATTCCATGACTCTCTAGGACCCCCAGGGAGGGAGGAGGAGGAGGATAATGGTCCTGCCTCTCTCCCGCCCACGGCACGGGGGATAAAAAAAAAAAGAGGAATAAACGCTTTGAGCCCTGCTGGGGTAGCACAGGTGGGGCTGGGGGCAAAGGGGCTACCCGGGCAGGGGGCGGCCCCCCCACCCCCGCCCCGCCCCGGGGCTGTGCCGCCCCCCAGCCCTGCCCCATAAAGCGGTGGAGGACGAGCCCGCTGCTCCCTGCCCGGCTCCCGGTTCCTGTTTCTCCTCTGCCCGGCTCCTGGTTCCCAGTGCTCCCCGCCCGGCTCCCGCACCCGCTTCCCCATTCCCGGTTTTTCTCTGCCCTGTTCCCGGTACTCCCTGTCCGGCTCCAGGGTCTCGGTTCCCTCCCCCGTACCCCGTTCCCAGTCTCTCCCTGTTCCCGGGGATGCTGCGCCGGCGCGGAGCCTTCAGCGTGGAGCCGCTCCATGACGGCGGTGAGTCGGTGGCCCCTGGGGCCAGGGGGGACCCTCCCCCCGTAACTGGGGGGCCCCCCCGGTGTCTCCAGCCTGGGAAGTTCCTGCTGGAAGGGATCCTCAGGGATCCCTGGTTTGGGGTGTCTGTGCTGCAGAGGGAACCCGGGGGTCCCTGGCACCCCCCTGTCAGTGCTGCAGGTGCTGCTGGGGGTCCTTGGCACCCCCCATTTGTGCTCTGTGTGCTGAAGGGGGTCCCTGGACCCCTCGTTTTCATCCCCCTCCCTGCTGGGAGGGGCCAAGGGTACTGGCTGTGCTGGGAATTCAGGTTTTTCCCTTCCCATGTTTAGGCTGACAGGCCTGTTCCTGCACCCGGAGCCCACTGAGTGCTGTGGGGGTCCCCAAAACCCAGGGCCCATCTCTATGTGCCCCCCCTGACTCTGCCTGTGCTGGGACCCCCCCTGCTCCAGCAGCAACAGCCAGAAAGCACTGGGGGGATCCGGGATCCAGCTGAGCTGGAGCTGCCAACCCAGGAGGAGGGGATGGGGATCCCCCCACGTCCCTACCTGTGCCCCCCACCCTGGTGGGGCTCTGGTGCCGCCCCCGTGGGGGGGGGGGAGCAGCCCCTCGGCGCGTGGGGTCCGGCAGCCCGCGGGAACGCGGCGTGTGGGAGCTGGGATGTTGGCAGCCACCGAGCCGGGGTGGAGGGGCTGCCCCCTGGGATTCCTGGGATTCAATCCTGCTGGGGTGGACGGGCTGCCCCACGGGATTGCTGGGATTCAATCCCGCTGAACGGATGGATTGTCCCGGCCCTGGCCTCTCCAGCCCCCAAGGGGTGCACGGTGGGTGGTGTGGCTGCAGGAATTTAGGGGCACTGGGACCCCTGACAGGTAAACTCAACCCAAGCCGGAGTTCCTGAGTGAGTTCCCTGGAATTTGGTGGGATTCCCCCGGCTCCTGGCTGCCTGCCGGTGCCCAAACACTGCGGTTGGGGTGGGAAGGGAGCCCTTAACCACCGGCCCAGCCAGTATCGCCGATCCCAAACCCGGCGAGGAACCAGTTGGGAACCAGTCCCGTAATGAGGTGCCTCTGGATACAGGGCCCGTCTCCGGCTGGGGTGGCTATAAAAGGGAGCGCCGGGACGCGCGCCCGGCTCTCGGCTCCGGCTCCCGGCGATGTGGGGGGGCTCCCGCGCCGTCTGGAAGAGGAGGTTCAGCTGCTGTGAGTGTGTCTGGGGGGGTGTCAGATCCCAGTGGGGCTTCCTGGAGGGGTGGGTGACTCCCAGGAGGTGCCAAAGCTTCGCTCCCACCTCCCTGAGGCCTTTGCCGTGGCCTGGCTGGGAAGGGAGGGGGGAAAGGGATGCTGAGACCCCTCCGTTGATGCACCGGGATCCCACCTGGAGCTGCGGGGTGGTGGTGGGAGGGGGGTACATCCTGGCTGGTGATGTCCCCCCTCCTTTCCTGTGGGGAGAAGCGTGAGGTGCTGGTGGTCCCTGGAGCCATCAGGTGTCCGGGATCCCACACTGTGGCCTGGATTGTTGGCACTGGGACAGCGTGGGACACAGGGAGAGCAGCCAGGTTGGGGTGGGGGTCGTGTGTGCCCCCCCCCAGCAGCTCAGCAACGTGGCTTAGGAGGAGGAGGATGGCAGAGGCCAGAGCTGTGTTTTTGGGAAGCAGCGACAATGCACTGCGGTTGTAGGAACACCCCTGGCTGTGGGGACCCTCTGGAGAGGGGTCTCTGGGCAGGGGTGGGGCTGTAACCCCCCTGTGGCAACAGGGAGAGTGGCCTGGGCACGGCTGGAGCTGCTGTGGAGCACCCCGGGGGGGGGCTGGGAGGGTGGTGGGCTCGTGTGTGAGGGGTGGACACCCTGTTCTGCACCCAGGGACCCCCCAGCTGAGACCCCCCCCGTCCTCCCTCGCCCCGCAGATGGTCCCTGGGAGACGGCCGAGAGCTGCATCGTGCGCACCTCCGCCAGCGTCTACCGCCGGCTGCAGGAGAGCCCGCGGCAGCCCCCGCGGGGCATGAGCACCCGGGGACCCCCTCCGCGACCCCCCAGCAGCCCCCCGGCCGGCGGGAGACTCCTCAAGTCCGAGTCGGAGGACTCCGGGGTGGAGATGGCCAGCAACGAGCACTCGCCCTGCACCCCGCTGGGCTCCGAGAGCAGCTTCTCCCTCGACGGCTTCGCGGTGGCGAATCCCCCCGGGGAGGAGCCGGGCCCGCAGCCCCCCTGCACCCCCCGGAGCCGCTCTGCCAGCAGGAAGCTGCTGCAGGCAGCGCAGCGGAGCAGGAGGCAGCGATGCCCGCGACAGCTCAGCCGGCGCAGCGCCAGCACAGCCGACCTGGCGGAGCCCCCGCGGGACCCCCGGGAGCCCGAGGAGCCCGAGGGGGCGGCGGCCCCCGCGCCTGGAAGGGCTCGGCCGCCCGGCAGCCCCCGAGACCCCCGGGCTGTGCCCGACGGGCAGGGGCTGCGCTACCTGGAGCACGTCTGCCAGATGCTGGAGCGCCTGGCGCGGCTGCAGCAGGACAACAGGATCCTCCGGCAGCAGGCGGCCGATGCCCGGCGCGCCCGCCCGGGCACCCTGGTGAGGGCCGGGAGGAGGTGGGATGCGTGGATGGGGGGGGTTTGGGGGTCCCAGCTCACACCCTGCCTCTCCTCTCCTCGCCCACAGCCCACCCGGGAGCCCCCGAGGCAGGATTCGGCGGCGTGGAGGGGTGAGGGGTTCCGGCCGCGCTCCTGCTCCGACAGCCAGGCACCAGGTGAGAGGGGTGGGATGCGGGAACGGCGGGATCAGGCACCGGGTGAGAGGGCTGGGATGCGGGAATGGCGGGATCAGGCACGGGTGAGAGGGGTGGGATGCGGGAATGGCGGGATCAGGCACCGGGTGAGCCGAGTGGGATGTGGGACGGCAGGACCCCAGACCCTGACAGCTTTGTCGTCTCGTGTCCCCCCCCTCCCCGTGCAGCCCCCGAGCCGTGCCGGAGGATGTGGGGTCACTCTGCCAGCTCCCCCAGCCTGCTGGACCCCTCCGAGAGCGGGGCAGGTGCCCCGGCACCGGACAAGGTACGGCCGGGGGGGGTCGGGGCGCGGCGGGCGGGGGTCCCGCGGGTCCCCCCCCGCTGACTCCCCCCTGTGCCCGCAGGACGGGCGCTCGCACTGGGACCGGATGAAGGTGCTGCTCACCCGCCTCACCCGCCGCTCGCTCCGGGGTGGCCGGTGCAGGTAGGACGGGGAGCGGGTCCCGCTCCCACCGATGCGCCTGGATGGAGGGACCGCGCTGTGCTGTTGCGTCACACCCCGCCCTACGACGTCACGCCCGCCCGGGGCCGGTCCCCGGCGCGCCCCCCCCTTCACCCTTTTTTTTCTTTCCCCCTTCTCCTCAATAAAGTCTTTTCACTGATAAAGAGGTGAGGTGCTGTCGCGCGTGACGTCACTCCCCCCCTCAACCCGCCGTGACGTCACGCGAGGGCGCGTCACGGCCGCATCACTTCCGACGGCTTTTTCCGCCCATTTTTGTCCGACCGGGCCCGTTCCCACGGGCCGTTCCAGCGGCTGCCGCCCCCCGCTCGAGCCCACTCTCTCCGAGCCCCCTCCCCCGGGTCCCCCCCCGACCCTCCTCCCAGCTCAGCCCCGGGGCTGGACAGGCTCCCGGGGGGGGGGTTTCGTTGCCTCGGGAGGGGGGTAAAGCTTGTCCTTCCTGCCAGACCTCCCCCTCCAACACCCTGCTCCCCGCAAGCTGCCGGTGGGGAGGGCGCGCCGGAGCTGGGGAGGGGTGGGGATGATGCTCCCGGGCTCGTCGCGGGTGTGGAGGAAGGAGCGGGTGCCCCTCGGGGTGGTCCCCAGCCCGCAGGAGTGTTTTGGGGGTGGGTGAGGAGGGGGTCGGGCCGGGGGTGATGCTGTTTTGGCGCTGCTGGAGCCCCTCATCGTGTCCACGGGTCGGGTCTGGCAGGAGAGGAAGACGCAGGTGGTCTCCAACCAGGTATCCCGTTATCCCTCCCCTTTCCCCCTCCTCCCTTTCCTGGTGTTTTCCTACCGTCACTTGGGCTTCTTCCTTCCCAGCGGCGAATCCCGCAGCCTCTCCAGAGCCCTCCCGACACCGCTCCCACCCGCAAACCCCGGGGGCATCCTCGGAGCTCCGATCTCCTCCATCCCACCGCTCCTTCCCGGGAAACGTGAGTGCTCATCCATCCTTATGGCAGGGGATGGATCCGGGTGCTGGGAGGGACCGGGGGGTCCCTGGCAGTGTCCCCCGGGAGGGTCGGCCGGGTCACAGCCTGATGAGAGGCTGCTGAAGGGTTTTTGGAGCACCCACACCTGGGCGGGGGTTTGCTGTGTCCTTGTCCTCCCCCTTCCCGGCATCAAAGCCCTTCCCACTGCCCTCCTCCACTCACCTGAGTCCCCCGGGGGTGAGGAGCAATGGGCATGAGGGACTCAGGGGGTGGGAAAAGGACAGGGATGGGCTGGATCTGTGGTGGGATGGGCATCTGGGCACCCCCCTCCCCTGCTGCCCCTCTGTCACCTCCACCTGGGCTGGCTGGACACCTTCCCCCTCACCTGGGGGACCCCGTCTGCATCCCACTGATCCCAAGGATGCCGAGGCTGGTCCGGGTGATGCCAATTCTCCTTTCAGGACCCAGGTGAGGAGGAGGAAGAGGGAGGTCTGAGCCTTTCTCTCCCACCCCGGGATCACCCAGAGCACAGGAAAGCTCCCAGGCACCTGACCAGGAAAATCAAGGTGTTGACCCAGGTGTGTGCTGGTGCTGGCAGTCCTGGCAAGGGTTAATTCACCCATTTTTTTGGGGAAAAACCTTTGGGATTGGTGCTGCTGGACTGGTGGTGGGATGGCATCTGCTAAACCTCTCCCTGTCCCCTGGGGTCTTGTCCCTTGGGGGCTTTGGGGAGGAAGGGGGACAGTTGAGGTGCTGGAACACAACTGGGCCCGCTGGGAGCAACTGCTGGGGAGGAAGGAGGGTGTTCCCATCCTGACCCCGTCCCTACAACCACTCCCATGGATCACCCTGGAGCAGTGCATCCCTCAGTGTCTCAGCCGAGGCTGAGAACATTCCACATCGTAGAGTTAATTTTCCCTTCCTGCCAGCTCTTCCCTATTAACGCCAGGATCTTGTGGGTGGTGCAAAACCCGGTAATTATCTGCTTTTTACTATAAAAGATGGAATTCTCCTCCCCAGCCAGTGCGGAGACTACGCAGAGAGAATCCCTGGGAATGCTGGGGTTAAGTTTCCATGGGTGAGATCCCTCTCCCTGAGGGCAGGAGGAGCAGGAGCTGGGATTTGCCAAGGGCAGGTGCTCTGGATGAAGTGGGACACTGCTGGGGATGAGGTGGATGGGCAGGTCTGGCTGCCCTGCCCAGGGTGACAGAGTGACACAAACCCAGCCACCAGGTGGGGTTGAATCCAGTGAGGAATCAACACTTCCAGGCCACGGAGAGGCTGCCACGGACTTTTTGCCTGCTTGGGAGCCATCCCAAGGTCTGCAGGGCTCAAGATCCCGCCGGGAGAATGTGCCCCTTGCTCAGATCCCAGGGGAGAACGTGCCCCTGCTCCTGCGTGGCAGTTAAATACATATAAATATATATATTCTATATATTTAGCATCCCTGCTCCGGGTAACCGTGGCAACGGGGTTTATTTTGCTTAAACCTGGCCCGGCATGTGATGCAGTTGGGAAGGAACAGCCGAGGGCAGAGGGAGGGATGAAGTTTTCCATGCTGGGAGCTGGGGAGGAGCCGTGGCACGGGATGTGGCACGGGATGCTCTCGGGGGGCCTCGCTCTGTCCCTCCAAACAGCCCCACTGGGGCATTCCCATGGCCTGCCAGGGCTCTGTCCCATTCCCTTTGCTTCAGCCAGGAATGGACCCCCACCCCTAAACCCAAAACTTGTCATTCCCTGTTTCCTGCTGGTTTCCCAGGACACCCCCCTGACTGCTATTCCCTGTCTTGTGCAGGGTCTGGTTTGCCAAATCCGGGCACTGGTGGGAAGAGGGGGTGGTTTTCCCGATGTCTGGAGCCGTGTGCCCTCACCTGGAGGCGCGGGAAGCCTCGTGCCACCCCCAGGCAGAGAAGGGACCCCCGTTACCTCCATCACAGTGTGCTTCCAGCCCCTCTGTCCCATCCCAGGCTCCCTGCAGTGCCCAGAAAGCGCCAGCTCAGGCCCAAATTCCCTGTGTTTTACTGGAGAACTCCTCGTGCTCTGCTGACGCCGTTTCCTCTCCTCACCTCCTCGGGGAGGGATGTTCAATCCCCCTTTTTTCCCCTTCCCACCCCTTCCAGCCTTCCCTGGGTGCCACCCCCGAGTCCCCCCCGTGTGTGCCACCCCCCCGGCAGTGGCGAGCGGGTGACAGCAGAGGGCGGCAGCGGCCCGGCGGTGGCCCGAGGCCACGGCGATGGGCACCGACAGCGACCGGCGCTGCGCTCCCAAAAACTTTATTGGAGAAGAGCGGCGGAGCCCCTGTGCCCTCCCCCGGACACCGAGGAGGGGCTGCAGTCCACCCACCTCCCTCACCCCAGTTTTCCTTGGATTTTCTCCTAGCTGGGGAAAAAAATCCTCCTTTATGGATCTCTCTGCGCTGGGGTCTGGGCTCCCCCTCCCTGGGCACCCCCTGTGCCCCCCCGGCTGTGGGGCAGAGGCATTTTGTGCCACTCCCATGCAAAGAGGCAGGGATGCTCGGCACGGGAATCATCACCCTTTCCCTCAAAAAAAAAAAAAAAAGGGATTTCAGTGATTTTTACCCTCCCCTGGGCTCCTAAGGCACAAAATGAAGGGGCATTGAGGGTGGGGTGTCTCATCCTCCTGGAGTGGGTCTGGACTGTGGGAGTGCCTGGAAAAGCCCAGCAGCCCCCACCCCAGTCCCACCTTCATCCACATGGGACACCTCCCTTCCCTGCTCCACCACACCCCCCAATTTAAGGCAAAACCCGTCTGTGGGGGAGGCAAAACCAACCCAGACGCTG